AGGGGGAAAAAATGGCAATTTTGGGCAAAATCCTGGCAAATTCCTCTGCCCCAAAAATGTCCTAAAATGCCCCCAAAAATCTCACAGCTCCAGAACCAAAAATCCCTTTTTTCCCCCATTTTTTATCTTTTTTTTCCCCTTTTTTCCTGTTTTTTTTTTCTAATTTTTCTCCTTTTTTTTTTGGTATTTTTGGAGATTCTGGAAGCCTCAATATTTTCCCAAAATTTCCCAAAAATTCCCCAAAAATTCCTCAAAAATTCCACAGCTCCAGCCCCAAAAATCCCTTCCCCCCCCCATTTTTAAATATTTTTTCCATTTTTTCTAGTTTATCTCCTGTTTTTTTCTTTCATTTTTAGAGATTCTGGAAGGCCAAATCTTTTCCCAAAATTCCCCAAAAATTCCCTAAAATTCTCACAGCTCCAGCCCCAAAATCCCTTTTTTTCCCTCAATTTTTTATCATTTTTCCCCTTTTTTCAATTTTTTTCCAATTTTTCCCTTAATTTTTGGAGGTTCTGGAAGCCCAAATCTTTTCCCCAAATTCCCAAAAAATCCCAAAAAAAAATCCCAAAAAAATCCTCAAAAAATTCACAAAAAATTCCAAAAAAAATCCTCAAAAAATATGAAAAAAATCCCGAAAAATCCCCAAAAATTCACAAAAAATCCCCAAAATTGCCATAAAAATTCCCAAAAAATTCTGAATAAATTCCCAAAAAATTCTGAATAAATTCCCAATAAATCCTGAATAAAATCCCAATAAATTCCCAATTTTTGGCACTCACAGTGGATTTTGTAGTCCTTGTACTGCCGGTCCTCGATGGCCGTCACGTAGAGCGTGGCGCGGTCGGGGAAGATCAGCCCGTCCGGGGTCTGCAACACAACATTCCCAAATTTTTTTGGGGCAATTTTGGGGGGTTTTCAAAAAATTCTGGGGGGGCCAAAGTTGGGGGAGGGGCTGAGAAGGAGCTGGGAATTTTTTGGGATTTTTTGGGGAATTTTTTGTGATTTTTAAAGAAATTTTGGGGATCTTTTGGGGGAATTTTTTGTGATTTAAAAAATTTTTTGGGATTTTTTCGGAGTTTTCTCAGGGAATTTTCTGGGGAAATTTTAGGGTTTTTTTTTTCACAGGATTTTGGTGGATTTTTTGGTCTTTTTTTTTAAACTTTTTTTGGGATTTTTAAAAAATTTTTGGGGGAGGATTTTTTGGGGATTTTTCTGAGGATTTTTCCCAGGAATTTTGGGGAATTTTCCTGGGGATTTTTGGGGTGAATTCCCAGGATTTTTGAGTCATTTAAAAACCCTATTTTTATTCAAAATTCAGATTTTTTTAACCCTTTCAAGGCAGCGCCCAGGGGGTTTTAGGTGCGATTTTACGCCGATATTTTTGCGGTGAATTCCCAAAATTTTTGGGATTATTCCCAGCAATTTTAGGATAAATTCCTGAGATTTTTGGGATTAATTCCCAGGATTTTTGGATCATTTTACACCCGAGTTTTAATCAAAATTCAGATTTTTTAACCCTTTCAAGGCAGCGCTCTGGGACATTTTTGAGCCGCGGTTCTCAGGGATTTTTGGGATTATTTCCAGAATTTTTGGGGTAAATTCCCAGGAATTTTGGGGTAAATTCCTGAGATTTTTGGGGTGAATTCCCAGGATTTCTGGCTCATTTTAAACCCAAGTTTTGGTCAAAATTCAGGTTTTTTAACCCTTTCAAGGCAGCGTCTGGGTGGTTTCAGGTGCGATTTTACGCCGATTTTTTTGGGATTATTCCCAGGAATTTTGGCATAAATTCCCGGGAATTTTTGGGGTAAATTCCCAGGGATTTTTGGGGTGAATTCCTGAGATTTTGGGCCTCTCAGTGTTGTATTTAAATCCTCATTTTCTAGCCAAAATTCAGATTTTTTAACCCTTTCAAGGCAGCGCTCTGGGACATTTTCGAGCCGCGGTTCTCAGGAATTTTTGGGATTATTCCCGGGAATTTTGGGATAAATTCCCAGAAATTTTGGGGTAAATTCCTGAGATTTTTGGGATGAAATCCCAGAATTTTTGAGTCATTTAAAAACCCTATTTTTATTCAAAATTCAGATTTTTTTAACCCTTTCAAGACAGCGCCCAGGTGGGTTCGGGTGGGATTTTACGCTGATTTTTTTGCCGTGAATTCCCAAAATTTTTGGGATTATTCCTGGGATTTTTGGGGTGAATTCCCAGGAATTTTGGGGTGAATTCCTGAGATTTTGGGGCTCTCAGGGTTAATTTTACACCCCAATTTTAATCAAAATTCAGATTTTTTAACCCTTTCAAGGCAGCGTCTGGGTTGTTTCAGGTGCGATTTTACGCCGATTTTTTTGGGATTATTCCCAGGAATTTTGGGATAAATTCCCGGGAATTTTGGGGTGAATTCCCGGGCTTTTGGGGCTCTCACCAGCCATTTATCGCGGGCGTAGATGACGGTGTTGAGCATGGACTCGTAGAACAGACAATATCCCATCCACTCGCTGATGATGATGTCGACCTTCTCCACCGGCAGCTCCACCTCCTCCACCTTGCCCTTGATGATGGAAACCACTGGAAAAAGGGGAAATTTGGGAAAATTTGGGGGAATTCCTGAAAATTTGGGGGTTGGGGATTTTTTGGGGGGGTTTAGGGGTTTTTTTGGGGGGTTTTTGGAGGTTTTTTGGAGGTTTTTTGGGATTTTTTTGGGATTTTCTTTGATTTTTTGGGGGGTTCTTTTGAGAATTTTTGGGGTTTTTTTGGCAGTTTTTGAGATTTTTTGGGGAGGTTTGGGGTTTTTTGGGGGGTTTTGGAGATTTTTTGGGGATTTTTTTGGGTTTTATTGAGGTTTTTTGGGATTTTTTTGGGATTTTCTTTGATTTTTTGGGGGGTTGATTTGGGATTTTTGGGAAGTTTTTGAGATTTTGGGGAGTTTTGGGGATTTTTGGAGGTTTTTGAGTGGAAACCACTGGAAAAAGGGGAAATTGGGGAAAATTTGGGGGAATTCCTGAAAATTTGGGGGTTGGGGGGGTTTAGAGTTTTTTTGGGGCTGCAGGGCTGAGGAGAGGGGAAATTGGGGAAAATTTGGGGGAATTCCTGAAAATTGGGGGGTTGGGGGGGTTTAGAGTTTTTTTGGGGCTTTTTGGGGGGGTTTTTTTTTGGGATTTTTTGGGGTTTTTTTGAGGTTTTTTGAGATTTTTTTGGGTTTTTTTGGGATTTTTTTGAGGTTTTTTGGATTTTCTTTGGTTTTTTGGGGGGGTTGATTTGGGATTTTTGGGAAGTTTTTGAGATTTTGGGGTGATTTTTGGGGATTTTGGGGTGATTTTTGGGGATTTTGACATCCCCTGTGGTTCTGAGGGAGGTTTTGTGGTGATTTTAGGCATTTTTGGGGTGATTTTGGGGTGTTTTTCTGGGATTTTGGGGTGATTTTTGTGGATTTTGAGGTTCCCTGTGGTTCTGAGGGTGGTTTTGGGGTGATTTTTGGCATTTTTGCAGTGATTTTTGGGAATTTTGGAGTGATTTTTTGGGATTTTGGGGTGATTTTTGTGGATTTTGAGACTCCCTGTGGTTCTGAGGGTGGTTTGGGGATGATTTTGGGCATTTTTAGGGTAATTTTTCGGGATTTTGAGGTGTTTTGGGGGGATTTTGTGGTGATTTTTAGGGATTTTGGGGTGATTTTGTTGATTTTGGGGTGATTTTTGTGGATTTTGGGGTGATTTTTGTGGATTTTGAGGTTCCCTGTGGTTCTGAGGGTGGTTTTGGGATGACTTTGGGCATTTTTGGGGTGATTTTTGGGCATTTTGGGGCTCTCACCATGGTCCAGTTTGTTGGCCTTGACGATCTTGACGGCGTAGTCGGAGATGCTGGAGCACTCGATCTGGGCCAGGGGAGGGAGGGAGCCCAAAATCAACCCCAAAATCCCC